GCCCAAACATGGACAGATGTACAAACATGGACATTCCTTGTCCAAGTGCTGACCGCATGACGGCATCACGGCGCACCCGGCGGACGCGGCACACGGCACACGGCGCCAATGTCAGGGACCGGACCGGGACCCGACCAGGAGAACCAGCGGACTGAGGGAACCATTGACCCCTGTTCAACCACCCCAACTGATCGGCATATATGGCAGTCCCATTAGTCGTGTCTGGGATAGTATACTATACAGTATACACCGTCATTTTCAGCCATCTTCCCTTCCTTGGTCTCTTGAAACAGCGTACCACTCTGGTTGGTTCATCACATCGTTGGATGTTTGGAAGGGATTTCGTTCCCCTCACGTTTCTGGTTCTTGCGTGTTCCCATCGGCGTAACCAGCTACGGCGAAGCCGGCGTGCCCCCGAGAGCGAAGCGGGCGTGCCCCTTTGAGCTTCCCAGTGTTGTAGTCTACAGTACTATAACGAGTTTTCCACTTGCCATATATATATGTTAAGTTATATCATCCTTAACATATTTTATAAACTGCTTAACTTAAACTATAAACTGGCTAAGTATCTTGTGTTATATTTATATGTTTGTTGCTTTTTATATGTTTTTATACATTAGTTGGATGGCTTATACCTTAACTTATAAGTTGGGAAGCCCAAAACTTATAAGAACTTGTAAGTTGGGTATAAGTTCTGTAAGTTGGCTGCGAGGCCATCTCTCCGTGATGCATCCGTATCCCATCGTAGCCCTTTTCTGGATGCGTGCAGCGAGGCTCGCCCGCTGCGTGCATGGCAGCATGCAAACAGCAACCACGCACACAACTTTCACACAACAACATCGCAGCAAATTCTCACAACTTTAACACAACACAAAACTTTCACACAACTTTCCCAGAACAACATCAGGCAACAGCATCCAAGAAATCAATTTTCACACGCTCAACAATTTTCATTTCACTTCTGAACGGCAGTTTTCTGTCTGGGTAGCCATGGCTGGCCATGATGCGCATATGGGCCCCATACCATTGGGGCCAAGTGGTGGCACACTGACATCAGAAAACAAGGAGTTCATCAAGAATAGAACCGGAGTTGCTGCATCGGTTCGGTATCGGCAGCAATGGGGACAACGCTGCTTGACTCTATCAGGACCACCAGGTCAGATGCAAATTGCAATGACAATGGCAAGGGAATGCATCGAAGCCAACGGCACGGAGGGGGGAAGGGTGCAGGAACCCGAGCAGGAGCTTCAATGGCGACAGCAGCCAAAAGGCAAAGGACACCAACGTCAGACTGCATCGCAGGCAAGCTCTTCGGCAGGCATTTCAGCTCAAGACTTTGCAGTCTTCCGGCAGACCTACGAGCAGCAGGTGTTGTACCTCACAGGCCAGATTCAATACCTGCAGCAGAAGCTTACATTGGTGGAGTCAACGGCTTCGAATGCTTTGCAGGTGGCGGCAGTGGCGCAGCAGCAAGCAATGGCGAATGAACAGCAGTTCAAGAGGCAACGCAAAGCGCACAAGAAGCAAAGGCAGTCTGAGGAAAATAAATCTCCTCAATCTTCAGAAGAGGCTACAGAGGAGGTGAAACCAGAGGCCGAAAGTCAAGCAGCGAGGAGACCATCGAGGAGTTCAGCGAAGAGTCCACCGGCAGCAGCAAAGAAAGATATTAAAGATGAACAATTCAGCGATGAGGAATCCTCGAGTTCATCAAAGGACACAAAGGTATCAGAGCGTACAAAGGTGGTTTCTCCGACATCACCCGCCGAGAAGGAGCATTTCATTATTGTTGAAAACCTTACAAAAGATTGTAGTTTTAGTTTCCCTGAGGCTCGCCCAGGGTTTAGTTGCTTCTTGTGAGTCATTGCCTTGCACCTTCTTGATTTATGGTTTGTGGCACGCTGCTATGATTCCAGGACTCACCATCGGTGCCTACGGTTCTACCTCCAGGCATTCCGCTGGCTGTGATTAAGTCGGATAAGAACACGGACGAGGCCATTGGGTAAAAGGGAAAAAGAACCTGGTGCGGGAAGTTCAAATCAAAGACATGCAATCTTATGGAATTTGAATTGTCCTGCAATATTTGTTCATGAAAGCATTGCTGCATGAATCAAGTTTTCAAGTGATATGCCTGCTTTTTGTCTTTTGGTTCAATATGGTTCAATCCTCGGTGGAAGGATCGGCCTCCACAAAAAAACAACTTTTGGAAGAAGGCTCGCCCTCCACGAAAAACTGTTTTGGAAGGCTAGCCTCCAAAAACATGTCATCAAGGCCATTCATCAGGCTACCCAGAAATGTGTCCTTTGGGGACTACATTGAATTGTTGGGTGACGACGAACACGATGACACACATCAACGGAAAAAATTACGAATGCAAATTCGTGATCCATTATTAGCTGAAGGGCGTTGTGGACAACTTTTGAGATCTATGGAGGTGACCATGCATGATGGAAAAAAATACCAATGGCACTATGTGGACCCCAAGGCCCTTTTGAGTCAACTCACCAAGGAGCATCCAGAAATTGGTGATCATTTGAAATCAGTGGACACAACGGTTCAATTGGCCTTTTACATGGACGAGATAAAACCAGGTAATGTGCTCAGACCTGATTTATCCCGCTCCCTTTCATGCTGGTATTTCACCATAGTGCAATTACCTTCGTTCTTCCATTCACGAGCAGATGGCTGGTTTTTCTTCGGGGCCTTCCCAAGCAAGTACAGCAAAGACCAACAAGACTACAGCTATCTATTCCGACTCATGCTGGAAACCTTCTTTGATGGTGACTTCAACTTGAGCAAGGGCATACCTTTGTACAGCTCTTCGGGGACATTTCTGTTTCAGGCTGAGATTGGAATGGTGATGAGCGATGAAAAAGCTCTTTGCCAGTTGTGGGGGGGTGCGTGGAGCTTCAGCGACAAAACCATGCATTTGTTGCCAGAATGTTCTGGGGCACATGAAACCAGAGGATGTCGAGGAACATGATTGGCTGATACATTATTCATGCCCTCACAGGCATCGCTTTGCGGAGCAAACTACTGACTTGTTTTGGCAAATGCGGAATCATTTGGCCTCCTTGACAAACAAAAAAAGACTTGAAACATTATGGCCAGCTTTACGGTGTACATCATCAACCACATGGTGTTCTCTGGACAGGGAATCTCAGAAACACGCTGTGCCCAGTCAAACACACTATGTATGATTGGACGCATGTATTGGTGGCAAGCGGTGGTGTTGCCCAGTATGAAATAAACGAATTTGTGAAAGCCTTGGGCTGTTTGGGGGTACAAATGGGGTCCCTTGATTGCTTTGCAGCGAGTATTGCAGTTCCGAAGTCACGAACAAAGCTTCCAAAGGACTTTTTTCAAACACGTGTGAATGATGAGGATGATACCCATGTGAAGTGCTTCGCAGCTGATGTGTTGGTGGCTCTTCCAATTTTGGTCATGTTTTCAGAGCGTTTTATCGAGCCCGCTGGACAACTTCCAGAGCACTGCACTTGCTTGAAGCTCATGGCAAACATTGTGGGGCTTATGAGTCAATCAGCAAGAGTCCTAGGATACATCGATGAATTGCAGGAATACATCGACAAGCATGGGTTCTTGTTTCAAAAGCTTTATCCAAAATGTGTCAAACCAAAGTTCCACTGGCTCTTTCACTTGCCACAGCAGTTCAAAACATTTGCTGTCAATTTGAGTTGCTTTTCTCCAGAGCGCAAACACCGTGCTGTAAAGGCCATTGCTTCCCATGTGTTCAGCGATCACATTGGCCAGAATGTGGCCATGAGGGTATGCTACGAGACCATCTCAAACTTCCAAAGCAAAACAATTTGGAAAGGAACTTTCCTAGCTGGAAGAAGAAGGCAGCTAAAGGACGGGGCTACAGTGCTTTCATTTTGGAACAAAGAAGTGGTCAACGTTTGGAGCAGCGCTGAGCTGAAGAGTCCAACTGGATCATTTTTTGTGGGCGATGTGGTGTTTGCACCTACAGTGGGCAAAGTGTTCATTCCGCAGGTGTTCATGGAAGTGTTGCTTTTGTCTGGGGAACGCAAGTTTATGGCTCAGGTCGCAACACACAATTTCAAGAATTGCAATTTGTTTGAAGCCTCCTGCACTTCCTCCCTGGTGCTCTGGGAGGATTCATTTAAGGCTGTGATGTCTACTATGGCATCATGTGGGTCGATTCAAATATTTCTGGGATCAATTGATCAAGAAAGCCTGAGGCTAGCCCAGGCATGTTCTTGAAACGGGGTTGACCATGAAAAGAAGCATGCGAGAAAACAAGAGGTCTGCGAAGGGCTGTGCATGCTTTAGATCTATACAGTGCATTGTGGCTGTGTCTTTTCAGTATTATCAAGTGCGAATGTAAATTGAAGTGTCATCAACAATTCTATGTTTGACATTTCAAGCCTCAAGCTTTTGCAGCATTTTGCATACATTTTGACGGCTCGCCTCAAAACTATGGCTGACCACGCTGACAAGGCTGCTTCGATGCCTGCGACACCGGTGTCGCTTTTGTCCGAGAGCGTGGATGAACATCAAGACTCTGGTCGCTGTTGTACATGCCAGAAACCTATCCATGAGGGCAATTCTTTGGTGGTTGTCAGGAAGCACTGCAAATCTGCAGACATCAGGCGATGCCGATGCTGCCACAATCTTCGGGCTGCAGTATCCCGCTTACAGGGAAAACATGGAGACTTGGTAAATGACTTCACCAAAGTCACGGGCGATAAGGTGCAGGAATTTTACGCAGAGCATGGGGATCTTCGGGGAACAGCTTTGCGAGCAAAGCTGGAAGAAATTGTATCAGACTGGAAAACCAGTCAGACAAGGGTCGAGTTCAACCAGGATGGGGAGTATATGGATGAGACTGATCTTGCGAAAAAAATATGAGGGCAAGCCCGAGACTCTTGCCCAAATCATGCAGAACACGCGCAAGTACTTCTGCCCTGTGCGGCAGCAGTACATGTATTGCGACCCCCCGATACAGCGAGCGTGTGCAAAGCATGTCGGAAGTGGGGACGACCCACAAACGAAAAGGAAACTTTGGCCTCGAGGACTCGGAGATGACTCGCAGGCCAAAAAACAATAAGAATACTCCTCCTCCTCCGGGTCCTGGTGACATTCCCAAGATGAAAACAAATGAGAAGAAGAAGATCTTGAAGAAGGTTGACAATGTGTCGGGGAAGAAGCTTCACATCCAAGACCTGCTTAGCAGGGCAAAGGAATTTGGGGAGATGATCCCTTCGTACATTCATGAGCACGTGAAGAGTGTTGCCACGGAATGCGAGAGCGTGATGTCCACGGCACAGCAATGTGTGAATGACATGAAGGGGGATGCAAAAGCCATGCAGGATGATTTGGATGCAGTTGCAAACAAGGCAGGCGAAGCAGCAGCACGGCTGAAGTCTCAGTTGGACCAGGCGGCTGCGTTCAAGTCCTAGGACCATGGCTCGCCTGGTCCATTCATAGATTGGCAGCAATCTCATGGGGTGTGAGAAAAGGTGTGGGCACATCACAGAAACTGTTTGAGAAGAGTTTATGTTTGAGACACACTGCATTGTCAAAAACATTTTGCATATAAGGAATGGCTTCATATGGTATGGCTTCATATTGCTGCCATGTCACCACCGTGTCACCACCGTGTCACCACCGTGTCACCAGGAATCCTTATATTCCTTACGGACTGTGCTCCAGGGTGGACCAAACATAGAGCAACAAATTCACAAGTCAATGCGCAAGGCAATGACTCACAAGAAGCAAAAAACAACCGTGCACGAGTGTCAGGGAAACAGTCACGGGAGATACCTCAAAAAAAACAAACAACGACCCTGGGCGAGTGTCTCTTTTTCACAGTCATGGAAGAAACCACAAAGAAAACAAACAACAACCCTGGGCAAGCTTCAGGGAAACAGTCATGGAAGAGACCACAACCCTGGGCGAGCCTCAGGGAAACAGTCATGGGGGAGGTCTACAAAAAACAAACAACAACCCTGGGCAAGCCTCAGGGAAACAGTCATGGAAGAGACCACAACCCTGGGCGAGCCTCAGAGAAACAGTCATGGGGGAGGTCTACAAAAAACAAACAACAACCCCGGGAGGGCATCAGGGAAACAGTAATAAGTGATAAATTAGAATATATTATAACGACATCGTATGCAAGCTTCTCCATATGATCCATTGCATTGCTTCATTCACTGCATTTTTCATTTTACCATGGCATAGCTGTGAATTTGTGTTGCGCTGATTCAAGCCAGCAGCATGCAGAGTGGTATAGAACACATGGTGGGTTCAAGCACGCACTCAAAAAGGGTGATAAAGACAGTCAGTGACACGACAATTGTGTGATATTTTTATTTTGCACATTTTCCCTTTCGCAAGCAAATCATTATAACTGTTCACAATGGCCATGTCGCGCGGCTTGAAGCGAAGCCAGCCAATCCATGTGGATGAAATACCGCGCATTTTGAAGAAGCGGACCTTGATCTTCGGGGAGGTTGACTCTTCATCTGAAGATGAAGAACCTAAGGTGGCTACAACCGACAGCCAAACCAACACAAAGCCGGGTGAGTCGCTAGGTGAGAAGCTCGACAGGTTGTTTCCAGGATGGTGGGAGCAAGACCAACACAAACCAGAGTGCTCTTGTGATTTTTGCAAGCTATACCATGGACAATGTGATGATGATGGAGTTGATGGAGACTCAAACTCTGCCTCCTTGACCTCTGGCCAGAACGAAGAGCCATCCCCTGCTGCTGCATAATTGCTTGCAAGGCTCGCCTGCGATGCAGAAATTTGAAGCTTCCTGCTTTTTCCTCATGGTTGATTGCGTTGGGTATGCCAACGCATTAGATGCCTGAGGTGTTCAATTATGACATACATTGCGGCCAGTATTGCGGCCGAATTCAGATCTTTGGGAAAAAGGTGGGCTGATTTGACGGCTTGCGCATTTATCAAGAACAGTCCTGGTGCCAATTTGATTCATTCTGTCATTTGATGTCACAAATGAGTTGAAACATACTAAATGTGCAAATGTTTTTTCTATATGCATTTGGTTTTGATTGCAACTTTAGGATTTGCCATTTCCAGGCCCACACCATGGTGGGAAAAAGGGGGTTTGCACTGTGGGAGGCTCGCCCCCACAGCCCAATGACTGGGCCTCGCTTGTGCCATGCTTGGGCAGCTTTCCTCGACGCGTTCACGTCAGTATGCCCTGCTGTGGAATCGATGGCTGTGGCACTGCCCTTCAAATGATGTCTGTGCCATTCAAAGCGAACAATGTGATGGATGTGGAGGCAAGATATGGACCTTACCTCGAAGCTCATTTACCAGGTTGCGCAATTCACGTGGGGCACCATGGGGATGTGAATTCAATCAACATCGATGAGTTGGAGAGGCCGGTTGACCTGTTGTGCTCCGGACCACCCTGCCCGCCGTGGGCAGGAAATGGGTCCCACGGCGGCCAAATGGACATGAGAGCGGAGGTCTTCCTGTCAGTTGTCAGGATGGTCATCGCATTGGCCAAGTCGGGCGAGCTCAAGGCAGCAATTTTGGAGAACGCGCGCGGAATTTGCAACAAGCTTCCTGGCCAGCATGAATCCTTCCTGGACCAGATGCTTTTCATTCTCCGGCAAGAAGTCCCAGAATTCCATTGGGATAAGGTGGAACTTTCTGCCTGTGACTACCTGCTGGCACAGCAGCGGACCCGTATCTTTCTGAGAGGTCTAAGGACTACGATTGCAGCTGGAATCCCTGCACCGCTATCACCATTTGGACGACGTGATTTGAGTGAGTTCTTGGACCACGGCCTTGAACCAATTGACACATCCACTTTGACTGAGGTGATGCGAAAAAACCTAGAAGATGCTGAGAAGGACGTCAAAAAGATGGTGAAGGCTGGGACATACAAGGAAGGCGACATCATTGTGATCCCTCTGGACAGGTCCACAGGGAAGGTTTACCAAAGGAAATGCACAGTGAATATCGTGCCGACTCTCACTACAACAAACAGGTATCTCTTCATCACATCGGTGAACAAGGGGAATTCCAAGAAGGGCTTCCATCGTTTCTTACATCCTTCAGACCCTTGAGCATTTCATTAGACACGCATTTTTTGGGGTTCAGGACTAAAAGGGTGATAGAGACAGCGACAAAACAACTCAGCACATATACAGATATCACCGACGGATGCTTAGTCAGAAAGCACAGGAAATGAATATAACTAAACAAATTTTCAAATATGTGTATATATATGTATATGTTAATCATAGATATAATCATATAGTGTGTAAATATATCTATGCAATGCTTTTGATATTCAATTGGCAATCTAGGAAAGGATGGTGCTGCAGGGCTTTTCAAAAGATGTCCTTGCTGGTGAACCGGATACCCTGCGGGTACAAGGTTCAGGGAACGCGTATCCGGTGCCACTGATGATTGCTGTGCTGCATCCTATTTTGGATGTAATTCGCCTACATCTCAAGAAGACAACCATGGCGCTGGGATTGCGGTCTGATGCCTATTTGACAGCTTGTGCCAACTTTGACAAGTACATGAATCATGAAGGAGTGCGCAGTGAAGGCGGCAGCTGCACAAGATACCAAAGCCAAACCAATGAAAAAAGTGAAGCCTATGAAAGTTTTGAAAGCTATGAAGGCCATGAAGGCCATGAAGAAGGCGAAAGAGAAGTCGCTGGCCAGTGCCAAGAAGGTCACTGGAAAAAGCAAACGATCCAATGCACCGCGATCCAATGCACCGATGCGATATCGCTTCATGTCATCGTCTTCGAGCTGAGCGGGTTCCCAAATTTAAGCAAGGCTCGCTTGCTGGCAAACATTTGCCTCAATGGGATGGAGACAGCTTCTATAGAGAAAAATGGGCCTTTTTGCATTCAAGTAGATTGAAATCTTATGCATTGTGTTTCTTCGAACACAGTGATTTCTGACATTGCCAAACGACTCCGCAACATTTTTAGGATTTGTATTGAAGGCTCGCCTCTTTTTCATTCACCATGGCCAGCGCATTAGACAGGCTTTCAGATATGCTGGGTTTTCTGGCCACATTGAGGCAATTCACAAGTGACAAGGATTCAACTGATATGCAACAGCGACTACTAAAAGGTTGCTTGGTTGATATTCGCCAAAGCCCTGGTTTTTCTCCACTGGAAGGCACGAACATGCTGGAAAAGGTTCATGAAGCAAAGCTTCCTGAATGGATGAGACAGGACATTTCGAAATGCATCCAGGAGATGGTGATGTCTTCGGTACAAGAACCACAAACTGGAGGGAAAAAAGAGGGTGTGTATGCAAAGAAATTTGCACATTTACAACTATTTCACTGCCGGTGAGTGGGAAACATTGAAGAGCCAAAGGCACACGATTGGGACAAAATTGGCGTTGCTGAGCAAACGGTGTGCTTTGCTGGGTTTGACATCTCCTTCGGAGCCTACCTATGTCATGTGCATTGCTATCCTTGTGTTGGCTAGTCATCAAGAATGCGCGGACGAGTTCACCTATGAGGTTTCCAACGGCTTTGGAATCTTGAGTGACTTTAAGCACGTGTTGAAAAATGTTTGCAAAGGAGTCACACACAGTGGACTGCAGGTCTACCCAGATGACCCCGCAAAGCTTCCTGATGAAATCAAAAAGCATGCTTACCAAGAAGGTACACCTGCGAAGTGTCCTTTAGACATCATGACCCTGCAGAGATTGTGCAACGATCTACCTGCAAGGCGTACCCATACCGCAGTCTCTGGGGGCAACAAGGGTCGCACTTCAACAAGAGACGAGTCTTTCAAGACTTGGTTTGCTGATATGTTGATGCGAGGGATGGCCAATGGCCATGGGAAGCAGTACAATGCTCTTCCAGGTTTCATGATGTTGGACCACAAGCAAACAAAAACCGGGAAAGCGCCACAGCTAGCTTTGGAGGATGGTGATGAGGAAACTCAAGAAGAATAGCAGCCAAAGGTTGTCCCTGCGCAGGCCAAAGCAATCGATGCGATGGCCGCTATGATTGGAGACCAATTGGCTCAGAACAAAAACAACAAGAAACAAAAGAAAGCCGAGGATTGTGATGATGAACCAAAAGCCAAAAAACAAAAGAACAGCACGGAAGAGAAAAAACCTGAGACCGAGACAACACTCAGTTTTCCAGGGATCAAAAAAAGAGATCCGATGCGTTCTGGTGTGGCTGTGATTTATACCTGCCCGAATAGCAGCAGCTGGCGAGTGAAAAAGGAAGGTGAAAAAAAGGACAAGTCCTTCAGCTGGAAAGGGAAACCAGCCAAGGAGGTTTGGCCACGCGTGGTGGACTATGTGCGCAAGTTGAAGTGATGGCAGAGGCTCGCCCTGCTGTCAGGAACCGCTGGGGGGACACGCGGAAAAAAAGTGCGGCGATTATGCTTTCAGTGTCCACGCATGTCTCTTTGAAAACAAAAAACGAAACAACAAAACGCAATTTCTGGGCGAGCGGGCCCACAGAAAAAAAACGCACACATGGTCAGCAAGTTTGGTGTGATTGATTTTTCGGCGCCCTGTTCCATAAATAATGCCAAAAATACTTTCAAGTTTTGGGTGGGCGAGCCTCACCTCAAAAAAAATGCAACCGAACCAAAAAAAACAACCTTTAAACAAAAAAGGGGGCAGGTTAACGTGGGGAACTTATAACTAACTTATAACTTAGGTTTCACGTGGAATATTTTTGAAGATATATCTTATACTTATAAATTCTTAAGTGGAAAACTCGTTATAGTAGAAGCCGAACAACATCATCCAGGAACGGTCCCAATCACGCATTCCCTAAACCGCAATCCGAAAGGACAGGACCAAACGGGCTGCGCCCACTCAGCTTCGGACCACAAAGTGTGGAGAGTCTTTGAGTGAAGGACCCGCCCCCGTCCTGCGCCAAAACGGGAAGTTCATGCAGCACACGACCGTCTGGTCATGAACGCAATTCATCTCCTGTCTATGCCGAGCATTGAGAGCAGGGGCATCTTTGAACCGGCCGATGAGGCGAAGCTCAGGGGTAGGGATTGGGAGAGCTTCTGAAACGTCAGCTTCTCCGCCTGGGCGCTGTGCAAATGACCCGGTACCGCACCGTTCTTCTAGCTGCACATCCGACTGCGACGAACGCAATGTCTGTTTGGTGATAGTGAGAAGAATCGGCAACATCAGCCAATCTCATCCTGGTCCTTACTGTATAAGTCGCAGTGTATATTCGTGTCCCCCAAATGAAATTCGGCATCAACGATTTCCAAACAATCTCCTGAGTTCCTCACGTGTATGTTGGGGCCTCTCCCTCCTATTCTCTATTGATGTTGGTCCCTTGACACGACAGCTAAAAACAACACAATACATCCCTAATCCTTCACCCTTCCCTGTTGTTCACACTTTGTTCACTTTGGGAGCTCGGCCCAAAGTACAGGAGCTGTGAGGTCGTCAAATGCCTTCTGCAGCTTCTCCCAGTCAACCTCACATCCGACAACCAACAAAAACACCCAAACGCACCACCCACCACCGTGATATGATCAGAATGAACAAACCCCAGTGAGAGATCGCTTCGCACATAAACAAGAAAGACCGAAAAAGCCATTGGAAGACCAGGTGGACAAAAAACACCAAAAAACAGGTGAACGATCGCCGGGACATCCAAGCAAAAACACTGAAAGCCCACATGGAAAACAACACGACCAGAACCAGTCACTGAGAAGCGCCAAACGAGAATACCATAAGATATGATCAGAATGAAGCAAATCCATATGGATGAAATGCGTTCCAAACCGAGATCAATCTCGCGTTCCAAAACGAGGTGGTGTCCGGTATGATTTTTGAGGTCCCAACGGCAGAAGCAACATCATCAGACTGCCAACCCCAAAGAGATTCACAATCCAAAGGAGAGTACCTCGGTCGAAGAAGAAACACAGCGAAAGGCGGAACAAAAAACACACAAAACACACACAGCTCCATCATCTCTCGCCGAAAGAAACAAGTGCATTCATCAACTGATCCAAAAGCGTCTGTATCATGTATGTTGACTGTGGTATCCTTTGGGTCTATCTTAATACCTGTAACAGTGGATGATGATGGTTAGTAAAGGCCTTGTTCAAAAATAGTAATAATTGTTTACTGACTGTTGCAGGTAATAGGACAAACCCAAGGTATCCCGATGTTCACTAGGTTTAAGTCCAAGGCTTCACTCGCTTTGCTCTCCTCGCTGCCCTCTTTGGAGTAGAGCGAGGCATGGCAGCATGGCACGTCTTAACACCAAAAGACTGCTTTGACCCGCACACATTGTTGATGAGGACAAGCAAATGGATCGGCTTGTCACACAATTTGGAGAGGTTACCCCTATTCTTACGAACCGCGCATGATAAGAATTGTAATTAAATTCTGTACCTAATATGCTTGTCATCAAGAATGTCACACTCTTCTATTATAAACAGATGACCTCAAAAACACAGCATCGTCCAAAGGAGCCAAATTCCACAAACAAGGAGTGTACACGGAATCATTCGTGACTCAAACACTCCATATTATATAAACTATATTAATACATCATATCTCGGGCCCATACTAATATTTGTAAAATGTATGATATAATATCCTACATTGAACCCCTGTTCAACCACCCCGATGTAGGCAAATATGCCATGCCTGCAACTGCTTAGGGCGAGAGATTCGGTCGCACCGAGAATCGGATCCTTCGGTCTCCGCGGTTTTCACCGCGCGTCTTGCGCGGGCGGTGCGATCTTCGGTCGTCCGATGTCTTCCGCGCTTTGTACAGAAAAGGTTTGGGACAGGTTGCGAACGAAAGGCGGATACTCCAGATCGATACCGCCCCACTGGGCACCAGTTTGGTGAACAGCTTGGAACGACACCAACATGCATCATGCAGAGTTAGCAGTTAGCAGCGTTGACATTTCGTTTTGATGTACATCCCTGGCCCAAAAAACACCAGGTGCGCCTTCCTTTGCGCCTTCCGGTTTGGGAGTGCGCATGTACACCGCATCGGCATAGCTTGGCTCAGCACGGTTCAGCGGGCCAAACGCCTGCAGCTCGAGCACCGGTGGCGTTTCATCGTGCCGTTTCCTTCCCTGGTTCGAGATCGCGCCGCGCGCCTGCGTCCACTCGGAGGGCCATTCTTGGCGTAGCCTGAGGGTCTCATGGTGAGATCCTGGACTTTAAGTTGCAAGAAGAAAGACATGGACCATTTGTTCAAAAATAAGGTCATCCTCCAAAACACCTCATAATTGTGTCCCAAGAAATCTGTGGGGCTCTCGTTGGGTCGATGAACTTGCTCCGTTTGACACCTCGATCCCTCTGGCATTCTCCGTTGGACCTCGCCGCCTCGCCTGGCCCAAAGGACTCCTGTGACAACTGTGGCAGGACCTAGGTCCGCGGCATCGGTCAGGTCCCCATGGTTCCACTCCCCTTATATACTAGGAGCAAGGACGCTACTAAGGGGAGGAGTCCCCACCCAAATCACCACTGACGACGAATGGGACTGCCATCTCTAGAAAGCCGATGCCAGGGCTGCACCCTGTGGTTGAAGTCGGGGGGTCAATGGGTATATAGGTATATATAGATATATGGCAAGTCCCAAGAACCGTCGTGTCACCGGACCCCCGGGTCGTTTCCACCCGTGCGTCGCACTCTTCGCTCGGCTCGGCGTCCGCGCCAGGTTCGTCACGTCGTCGCTCGGCTCTCGGGGCGTGGTCTGCAGGCCCTTCCGAACCTCCGAGGGCGTCGGCACCGGCGTCAGGCCGAGCGGGGGTCGAAGCGAAGCAAATGACAGGTGCCAAGTCTGCATCATTCACATCTATCCACCATGAAACAGGCGTTTTTGGTCCAATCACGACAGCTGCGCAGCTGCGCCACTGGCTGCGCCTTGCACTCGAAGGCAATCCTCGAGCTCGTTTTTGCGGGTCGAAAGCCAAAGGATTCCCAGCCCTGCTCTGAAGATCTCTGAACAAGTTCCCAAGCACTGGGCCGTGCATCCATCTCATCCGCAAGCCGGGCTTCCAAGGAGTACAAGCGTGCCTCATGAAGGAACGGACGAAGGTACGAGTGGAGTTTTAGTTGCAGTGAGGAACTCCAACAGTATACGGTGTAAGTCTAAGTCACTGTGGGTGAGCGGGGGAAGCTCAGGAGCCTTGGGAATCATATTGAAATGTGCGACAATGCAGTTTGACCAATCTGCAGCGCCTCAGAAATCCTGGCCGGCAAAGGAGTTGAATGCACCCACTTTGCAACCTCCGCAGCAACCCGGAAGAGGCTGGATCTGACTGGGCCTCTCTTCAAAGGACACTTGAGGCCGAGGGTAGGTGACGAAAGCTAGCAGGGGTGCATCCGGACTGGTGGGACATCAAGCGGAGTGAGGCAAATGCTCATGAGGTAAAACGTTGTGAACATGTAAGACACACAAACAGCAATGACACAGCCAACCTTAGAATTGAAGTCCCCGATAATTAAGGAAGCGTGGCTGGACTTTGCCACACTGTTCGATGCATCCGATGTGTTCACGAACCTGTGAGCTTGTTGAATCTGTTGCACCGTATCCCAAAACCTCCACGGAGGAGTTGAACCAGTGTGGATGCCATAAGAGGTGCCCAAGAGGTGTCCCAGAGGCAAAACAAAGCTGCTTGCATGATTTGTTTGGTTTCTTCTATCGATGTCGATGTCATGAACATGTGAGCTTGTTGAATCTGTTGCACCGTATCCCGGAGGAGTTAAGCCAAAGTGGATGCCATAAGAGATGCCCGAGAGGTGTCCCAGAGGCGTCCGAGGGGGGAGTTGAACCCACGGGGGGGGGGGGGGGGTGAAAGAGTGACTAGGGCGTACACGGTAGAGGTGCAGACCGCTAGTGTCTTTTGCTCACGCAGAGTCTTATCCTATATCCCTTGAGCCTTATGGCAGTCAAGCATGGACACACTAGATAGGCCACTAGAGTGGAACCTGTACAAGTATGCCTATACATTTCAACAGGCACAAAATTCATGTCCACTCCTGCCTATTGCGTATGTCGCATATTTTACTGCCATAAGGCTCAAGGGATATAGGATAAGACTCTGCGTGAGCAAAAGACACTAGCGGTCTGAAAAGTAGAGCCTACCTGTACAGGGTTCCACTCCAACAGCCGATATAGTGTGTCCATACTTGACTGCTTCAAGGCTCAAAGAGCAAGAGGATAAGACTCTGCGCATAAAAGACACTAGCGGTCTGCACCTCTACCGTGTACGCCCTAGTCACTCTTTCAGTGGTAGCGGAGCAGTGATCCTGGAAGACCCAGGTGAGCTCCTTTCCTAGGCATAGACTTGCTAGTGGGCAAACAGCCATGGATTGGATAGACGACTGGGAAGAGCCTGATGCGGATGTGGCTTATGAGCCAGCAGCCTATGTGAATAGGCATGTGAGAAGAGAACCAGCAGCAATAGCAATGACAACACAGGTCACTACAAAGGTGCCCCCATCTTATGATGGAAAGACTTCATGGTTTCCTATGAGGATGCCATAGACGATTGGTGTGATATCACCGAGCTGGAAGATGAGAAGAGAGGACCAGCATTGAGAAACAGATTAGAAGGAGAAGCAGCTGTATACAAGCGTGTTTTAGACAGAGATGCATTGAAGGCAAATGATCCACCAGGAGCCGGCGTAGAATATTTCAAACGAGTACTACGACCATATTTCGTGAAAGGATCAACCAATGTATTCCTGTATAGATTTATGCAATTCGTGCGCTTCAATCGAGGATCAGCTGACATGATGAAATGGATGACAAGATTCCAGATTTTACTCCAAAGGCTTATGAGCAGTTGGATGGACATGTTAGAACCAGTCACTCAAGCACATCCACAGGTCCTAGTTCAGATGCAGGCAGATGCAGCGTTGACTGGAGTAGCACCAACGGCAGAAAGGATTCAGGAAATCATGCAGACCATCAATGGCAATATGAGGACTTTTCATCAGAACGAATTTCCTCTAGGAGAAAATCTCATTGCCTTACTCATGCTGTCACTTGCAGATTTGTCTCAGGACCAGCGAAACACTTTGACTTCTTTGATGACTCATCGTGGCAGGGTCCTGCAGCAATACACTACAACAGAGCTGAGGACAGTTTTCATTGAGATGTTCTGCACGACAAAGACTTCAGTAGACAATCCTTTGATGCAGCCGACAGGTGCTGGAGGTAGAAGATCATTCCTCGTGATGGAAGAAGGAGAACTCGATGGTACATTTGGCTATTGGGCCGAAGATGAAGAAGATGGAACAGAAGGATTTTTAGATGCCCTGGACGATGTCTTTTGGGTATATGATGATCAAAACTTCTCGTGGTTCCAAAGGAGATTCCAAGGAAGAAGAGCCAGAAAAGGCAAAGGAAAAGGAAGAAGAAAAGGAAAAGGTAAAGGAAGATCAGGCCGCAGATTTTTCAGACCTCGTGGAAAAGGAAAAGGAAAGAGACGAGGTAAAGGCCATTTTGCTGATGAGCAACAGACAACTTTTCCAGATGAGTATTATGAAGAGAATCCTTATGAGGACACTTGGGAGTCAAACCAAGTAGCATATGATGCCATTCTTGCCGAAGATATGAATGACTATCTTCAAGGAGAATATGATGATGCCAATGACTTTTGGCAACAGCTTGAAGAAGCATGGTTTTCCCACAAAGGAAAAGGAAAAGGCAAGAGAAAAGGCAAGAAAGGAAAAGGAAAAGATAAAGGAGATGGCAAACAAGATGCAAACTATGCAAATCAACAACAGCCACGTTCTTTGCCTGCACCTTCAAGATCTTCACAAGCATCAGGAGGTCAACAAGGTTTCTTTGCACATTGTGTGACAGCAGCAGCTGAAGTCCATGACAGTGAGGTGAACTTGCTGTCAGGCATGATGACCTCATGTCAAGATGAAGCTGACTGCGCGGTCAACAATGGTGAGACGATCTTCAATGGCATGAGTGCCCCTGTGAGGTACTCTTTGTCAAAGGAGATGCTCACAAAGGCTCCTGATGGCTTTGCGCTTATGAGCGCTGAGGAAGAAGTGAAGGAGATGCAGGCCATTTCATTTTTGACTGAGAATCGCTTCCCGCCGACTATTGCAATCCTGGACATTGGATGCACTAGAGCTATGGGATCAAGGCGAGCAGTCGACCATTTTTGCAACTATGTCGACAATCACCCAGATTGTGGATTATGGTACTCTTTTGAGGCTACCAAGAGCAAGTTTTACTTTGCCAATTCCCAGAAGGCTACTTGCTCTCAGAAACTGGTGATTTACATGTATGATCGTGCATGGACGATCCACCATACAGAGTTCGACATAGTGGAAGAAGGAGAAGTCCCTTTGCTTGTGAGCTTGCCACAGATGAGGAACTTAGGCTTTGAACTCAGGCTGACACCTCAACATGCTTATCTGACATCGGTGCCTCTTGGTATCAAATATTTGGAGTTGAAGGTTGCAGCCAGTACTCATCTTGTCTTGGACTTCCAAGATATTGCATGGTATCTGTCTGACGTGAATTTGCAGACTCGGCGCGAGAAGAGTTTTTACTCTCACTTCACTCACTATGAATATGGTCATATTTCTGTTGATCACAATAGTGATGAAGATGTAGCTGAACATGCATATCCTGTGGTTGACTACTGGGAAGTAGATGTTCACAAGAGAGAACTGATACGTCACCACAAGGATTATAGAAAGATTCTTTTTCCAGCAACTAAGTCCTGTCCTGTAGACACTGACTTACTGGAAGACTTGCGACTGACAATCATCAAGAAGAAGAAAGGAGGAGAAGAAATCAAGAAGCTAGATGATTGGCGCAAGGCAAAATGGAAGGACCTACAAATTGGCTATGAATGGCGTGGTAGAACAATTTTTAAGTTCAAACCAGATGCCAAAATTCCAGATCTAAAGATCAGGAAGGCTGGCATTGAGCACCGTGGCATTGGTGATCCCGATGCAGTGGTGCGCTCCTCCTCAGAGAAGGTTCCCATTGCAAAGGACAGGGAACCAGGCTTCTCGTCAGAGAAGGAAGGTGCACCATCAAGTGCCGCGGAAAAGCCCGTGCCGCCAAAGTTTCGGTATACTTCCAAGGGTTTTGATCCATTTTGGAAGGGACACAAGTCGAAACCATCTGAGCCTCAGAATGATTTAAAGGGTGATGATCTTGAGGAGTATGCTCCCTCAGAACCACCTGAGAGGCCAGAAGGTGAACTTGTAGAAATTCCTAAAGCATCAAAAGGACCATCAAGTGATAAACATGAACCACTTGAACCAGGTGATGGCGCTCTTGAGCCTAGGCGGATTTCAATCCCATTACCTGGTAGTGAAGTTGTTGCAATGACACCGGCATATAGGAACATGTTACAGAGACTGGAGGACAAGGTAGAGCTTTATAAGCTTCATGTGAAGCACTACCATATGAGTCCTACTCAGTTTCGTAGACGTGTTTCTATGTTGAAGCTTCCTGACTCTGTTTTAGAGAAGTATGAATCAGTTGTCAGGAACTGCCGTGTTTGTAACACTTCAGTGGCACCTCCGCCACGAGCCAGAGTCTCCGGTATTAGAGCTTCATGTTTTGGTGATGTTGTTTTTGCTGATCATTGTGAGGTTGAACTTCACAAGAACAAGTATATCATCTTACTTGTTCTTGATGGTGCCACAAATCTTCTCTGGGCTACGGCACAGAAAGACCTCATAGATCAAACCACCATCCAAGCATTGAGGCAATGGTCTGATGAGAACAACTGTGTTCCAAAGGCCATCGTAGGAGACGAAGCCTTTTTCACCGATGCTTTTGTTGAATACTACAGGTTCCATGGTATACAACAATGTCCTTGTGGGCCAAGAACTCCTTGGCCGAACCGAGCAGAGACAGCTGTACGTTTGTTCAAACGTATGTGGCATGTTATGAAGGTAGATACGTTTTCGTGGTGTTACGGTCAGAGAAGTGGTCAAGAAGGTAGTTTGGGCAAGAAATTGTCAGTTGACTATCAGCGGATATTCACCAATAGAGATAGCAACTGGAAGACGTCCACCAGATCTTTTTGACCTTGAGACCGCAAGCCCTGAGCAATTGTCAGCTAATGCCGCCGCACAAGATCGTACAAATTTGGAACTACAACGTGTGGCTTTGAGAGCTCATCAAGAAGCACGACAAGCTCAGGACCTTCGAGCAGATCTTGCAAGAAGGACTATGCCAAGTGACTGTCCTTATTTCCAAGGAGAGAAGGTTTTTGTTTGGACTCAGGATTCAT